TTTGTTTGCAAAGGGCTGGAGAGCAAAGACAGAGATGTCTGATCAATAATAACACAAACAAATTCAACTGCGCTAATTCCCCATTTTTCCAATATACAAAGCCTCAAACACTTAAGAGGACATCCTCTCTTATAAAAAGTAAAAAGATTATTAAAGTTGCGCTAAGTAGGAAAAAGTTCAATAAACTTCCGGAAGACGTCTTTTGATGACAAAACGCGTCAGATGGAGCCTCCCTCTGATGTCACCGCGCTGTCGTCCATTTTGGAAACTTTTTTTAATGCTTTTATTTCTTGTAAACTTGTAAGTAGGATTTTATTTGCGCAAATAAAGGTACATTGATCATCTTGCACTATGAGAGGCATGCTTTATTTTCCATGACACTATCCTGATACCGCAACAGGGATGACCTACTGATGTATGTGGATTTTGGGTCCTGACATGATTTGAGAGATCTTGGGTCCTGACAGGTTATGGAAGTTAGGATGATAATTTATCTACAGAAAGCTGAAAATGATCCCCTATTGTTAAGGGGTCTTTTCATCTGGTAAGCCTCCATTTATTCATATGGGGGTGGTCTGCACACATGGGTGACTAATTGGATGAAAAAGAACTTGATCAGCATCACATTTAAAGAATGAGAATCTGTTTCACAAATTTATTGCGAAGTTTAATATTCATGTGGACTTTTATGCCTTCTACATGGACTATGTATGTCACTGCCTATATACACTAATTTGTTCAGTTATTATGTTTATGGCTATTTTCACATTTATTACATGTACAGTATAACCTCGGTTTACAAATTTAATTTGTCTTGCAGGACTTTTCGTATAGCAAAAAATTTGTAAACCGAAACGCCGTTCCCCATAGGAATGCACTGAAAACCAATTAATCCGTTCTGGAGGGCAGAAAAAAGTAAACGCTACTAAAAATACCACATGAGTTATTTTATCAAATCATGCGGTATTTTAGTAGTGACAACCATGTGTTAATGTTTAAGCTGTCAGCGGGGTTCCCCACTGACAGCTTAATGTAAAAGAATTTCCGGCCATTAAAAAAATTATTTAAAAACTGGCGTGGGTCCCCCCTCCCATCTATACCAAGCTCTTTGGGTCTGCATGCTCGGATAAGCGTCTGGTATGGATTTTGAGGGGAACTCCCGCGCCAAAATTTAAAAAAAAATGGCGTGGGGGTCCCCCCCAAAATCCATACCAGACGCTTATCCGAGCATGCAGCCCTCCAGACCACATGCCCTCAACATGGAGGGGGGTGCTTTGGAGCAGGGGGGGCTCCCCCCTCCCCTCCAAAGCACCTTGTCCCCATGCTGATGACAAGTAGACAAGTAGATCCAACGTCAACCATGATGTCCGCCGCAGCCCCGAAAAAAAAAAAGGTTCTGTTCCTGACGATGGCTGCCAGCCCCCTGCCTTTGAGCTGGCTTGACCGGTCTTAAATATGTAAGGGGCCGGGCCACCTGGGGACATCATCCGAGTGACCCGCCCCATGTAACGGGTCACATGCGTGATGCCCCTGGGTGGCCCCACCCCTTACATGTTTAAGAACTGTCAAGCCAGCTCAAAGGCAGAGGGCAGGCAGCCATCGTCAGGAACAGAACCTTTTCTTCTTTTTTTTTTCGTTTCGGGGCGGCAGCCATCATTATTGACGTTGGATCTACTTGTCAGAGACCGTGTCCTGTCTTTTTTTCACACTACACCTTTTTTGTTTTTTGTGAATATGTAGGGGTACCATGTACCCCATACTCATTCACATGGGGGGGCCGGGATTTGGGGCTTAGCTTTCAGATTCCGATAAGCCCCCTGCCTGCAGACCCCCACAACCACCAGCCAGGATTGTGGTGAAGAGGCCCTTGTTCCCATCAGCATGGGGACAAGGTGCTTTGGGCGGGGAGCCCCCCTGCCCCAAAGCACCCCCCCATGTTAAGGGCATGTGGCCTGGTATGGTTCAGGAGGGGGGGGGGAGCGCTTGCTCCCCCCCCCCTCTCCTGGCCTGCCGGGCTGCATGCTTGGATGAGGGTCTGGTATGGATTTTGGGGGGGACCCCCATGCCATTTTTTTTTTTTTAAAGTTTGGCGTGAGAGTTCCTCTCAAAATCCATACCAGACCCGAAGGGCTTGGTATAGATGGGAGGGGGGACCCCATGCCGGTTTTTTTATGTATTATTGTGTTGGTTTGTTTTTTTTCTTGACTATAGCTCAGAAATTCAGCTTTCACTTTCCCCCCAGCTAAAAGTTTTTTTTTTTTTTTCTTTTAGTTTATTTCCCCAAGTTAAAAGAAACAGTTTTTTTTTTAGTTTCTTAAAAGAAACAACGTTTCCTTTAACTCTGGGGAAAGTGACAGCTAATCCTGTGAGCTATAGTGAAGAAAAAAGAAAATGCTGGGAATTGCATTTAAAAATCAGCACTGACATACACTTCATATTGAGAAAAAAAATTAGTAAAACATTAGTAAACCGAGGCATTATTTTCAATGGTTTTTCATTCGTAAACCGAGGTACAACTGTACTTAAGTTTATTGAACTTTTTCAGACATAGCGCAACATTAATAATCTTTTTATTAGTTAATGTCTGAACTTTCATTTTTCTTCCGAAATATGTTTGCCTGCATATGATTACCATTTTTAAAAGAGTACAGTATAGTGGTTGAGTATAGTGGTTTAATTCATTTTCTTCAAATGTCCCTTATCTGATTCACAGTGTATATGTAACAGTTTACATCAATCCTGGCCTCCTAAAAAAAAAATTAAATCAAAGGTTCTTACCAGAAATATGTAGATTTGTCATAAGAAACTTGAGCACACATAGAGAAACCACACATATAAAGAGGAGACCAACAATATGCAGATGTAACAGTCAATCATAATACGGTTCTGGCTAATGATTGATCTTTAGATTTACTTAGACTTCTCAGTTAACCTTTATCCTATTTGATACTAGTAAGGTGATTGTAACCCTTTGCTGGTAAATCAGGAAATTAAATGTATGCTTTGTTTGTATCAGTGCCTCTGTATACAAAAGATAGAGAAGCTGTGGAATGGAAGAGGTGTGACCACATGTGAATATTGATTAACCACTGGAGCTCTAGAAGGTTTTACCCCCTTCATGACATTTTTTTTTGCTTCACACAAATAGAACTTTCTTTTGGTAGTACTGGATCACCACTGGGTTTTATTTTTTTTGTGATCTCCACAAAAAAAAACCAAATAAACCGCTTTCCTGCCGCCGTATAGCAGATATACTACTACACGGCGGCACGGGTGCGCAGAATCACGTATATATACACAGAATTTTCATTTCCAAAGAGGGGGCACGCACCGCCATTTAGGAGTGTGGATGTCAATCACCGGGTCCTGGCCGGTGATTACGCACCGGCGCCCAGCGATTACTGACAAATCACAGATGGGGAAGGAAGACTGTTTTGTTTACAGACAGTCTTCCTCCCTGTCAGCATCCCGATCAGTGTGCTTACAGTGAAGCACCCCCCCCCCCCCGCCATAGTAAAACACTCCCTACACAACACAGTTAACCCTTTGTTCGCCCCTCATATTAACCTCTTCCTGCCCAGTGTCATTAGTACACTGTCGGCGCTGTTTTTTTTTTAGCACTGATCACTGTATTGGTGTCACTGGGGATGTCAGTGGCACCAAGTTAGTAACCCCCCCCCCCCCCCCCCCCCAGAATGACCGCCGCAGTCCCGATCAAAGTCGCTGATCACCGCCATTACTAGTAGGAAAAAAAAAATCACAGTATCTATACCGCCACTTGTAAACACTATAACTTTCACATAAACCAATTCATTTACACGTATTGGAATTTATTTTTTTTTAGCAAAGATGTAGTAGAATACATTTTGGCTTAAATTTATGATGAAATTTGATTTTTTTACATTTTTTTACTGGACATGTTTAATAGCAAAAAGTCCAAAATATTTTTTTTTCTCAAAATTGTCGGTCTTTTTTTGCTTTTTGCGCAAAAAATAAAAAACGCACAGGCGATCAAATACCACCGAAACAAAGCTCAATTCGTTGGAAAAAAGGATGTAAATTTCATCTGGGTGCGGCTTGCATGACCGTGCAATCGTCAGTCAAAGTAATGCAGCGCCGTAACACAAAAATGGCCTGGTCAGGAAGGGGGGTAAATCCTCTGGAGGGCAAATGGTTAAAAAACAAACAACATTTACTACCTTCTTTTATAAAACGCATCTGATAATAAAAAAAAAAAAAAATTGCAAACTTAATTTCTTCTTAAATCGTGTTGTCGTCATGGCTTGGCAATTCAATTGGGAAGGAGGAAATTTTGTTTTAAGGTAAGTATGCCATAATGTGCTAGTATGTGGTGCATACTAGCACATTATGGCTTAAACCACCGGAGCCCATGTTGTGTATTTTAAGAAAAAAAGTTTACTACCAGTTTAAGTGTGCCTTGGCTGAAAAAAAGGTTAAGAAACACTGCGCTAAGAGACACTGTCTGAGAGGGTCAATTAACTGACACTGACATCGATAGTGTTAATACTGTACACTGGCTGAGAAGGGGTTAACATCGGGGAACAATCAAGGGATTGACTGTATGCCTAGTAAGTGTAATTTGTGTAATATGTGCTGCTTTTACTTTACTATGTGTCTGTTTTTTCTTCCTTAGCAGGAGAATAAACAGGCAGATCACTGTTACCTGGCTCAAATCAACTGCCAAACTCATGCTGTGTCCAATCACAGCATGGATCAAAAGGGGAGCCCAAGGTTGCAACATACCAGTACAGGGCCCGGCCTGCAGTTGCCGCTACTACTAGTGCTGCTTGTAGTACAGCTACTGTGAGCGGGTGGCAAGTGGTTAAAGAAGATGGTGATTTCATGCTTGGCACCACTCCTTTCTGTATTAATAGATGAATGCCTTTCATATGTATGTTTGTCTGATCCTGGAAAAATATTGATGTTTTATTCAGTTTTCCGAGTTTACCTAAAAATAAATTACATTGTTTGTTTTCCAGACAACATTACAAACTGATGAAGTGAAAAATGTACCCTGTGGTACCAGGTATGTCTATTTGCCATATGGCAGAGGAAGACTGAGCTATTCACATTATATGGCTGATGTTTGGATAAGTGCACACTGGTGATGTGACAATGCCCACACCTTGTGATGCATTAACTATTAAGAGACACTGGAAAGCAAAAGTTTTTATGTGAAGAGGACACATTTCCAAATGGGTGAAACATAATCACACTTGGGCATTAAAGCAACCCTTTTTTTTTTCTGAACATGTAGTTAAATGGTGCCCATTGAAAATTGCCAAATTGTAAGTTCTTGTTGAAAGTAGGTTATGTTCCTGACACCAGAGTTGATTTCAGTATTAGGACCAGTTTCGACAGGCTTTGGGCTTGTGTCACTGGGCAAATGTAGTGTGCAATCAAACTACATTTGATTTGCATTTAAGAAGAGCTTCTGACATCATTTATAGTTAATTTACCAGTGTATTTGGCTTCTTTCTAAGTGGTACCAATGTGATTTTGCCTTTCTGTTGATTTATATAAGGAGAAAAGCAGCTCTGATACAAGTAAAACCACTTGCCTTATACTGTCCTCAGTCCTTACAATCTTATCAATTACTAAAAATGTTAAAATAGATTTAATAGTATTAAAAATTTGCTCTGCCATCTTGTATAGATAGTGTTTCATTGTACTCTTTTGGGATATCTTGCTGTCTTTTTACAACAACACTTGAGGGAGTCTATTACACATTTTCACAGCTCTCACTGTGAAGAAACCTTTCTGTGTTTGGAGATTACATTTCTTTTCCTCCAGACGTAAAGAGTGCCCCTTGTCCTCTGTGATGACCTCAGGGTGAATAACTCTACACCGAGCTCACTATATGAACCACTGATGTATTTATACATGTTGATCATATCCCCCCTTAATCTCCTTTTCTCAAGAGAGAATAATTCAGTTCCTCTAATCTTTCCTCATAGCTGAGCTCCTCCATGCCTCATGTCAGTTTGGTTGCCCTTCTCTGTACTTTCTCCAGTTCCCCAATGTTCTTTTTGTGATGTGGTGCCCAAAACTGAACTGCATATTCCAGATGAGGTATTACTAATGATTTATACAGGGGTAATATGATATATCTCTCTCTCTGGAGTCTATAGATCTTTTAATACAAGAGAGGATTTTGCTCGCTTTAGAAACCGCAGCTTGCCATTGTATGCCATTATTAAGCTTGTGAATCTACCAGAACCCCCAAAACATTCTCCATCATTGATTCCCCCAGTTGTATTCTCTCCTAGTATGTATGATGGATGCATATTCTTAGCCCCCAAGTGCTTAACCTTACATTTATCAACATTAAACCTCATTTGCCACATAGTTGCCCAATTAAACAGAGCATTGAGGTTGGCTTGTAAGTTGGAAACATCTTGTAAGGACGTTATTCCACTGCACAGTTTGGTGTCATCTGCAAAGACTGAAATGGTATTTTTAATCCCAGACCCTATATTGTTTATAAATGTATTAAAAAGTAAGGGTCCCAACACTGAACCCTGGGGTACACCACTGACAACCCTAGACCATTCAGAGTATGAATCATTAACCACTACTCTCTGAATACGATCTTTTAGCCAGTTTTCTATCCATTTACATACGGATTTTTCCAATCCTGTAGACTTTACCTTACACATCCGTTTGTGGAGAACTGTGTCAAACGCTTTTGCAAAATCCAAGTATACCACGTCCACCGCCACCCCTCTGTCCAAGGTTTTGCTCACGTCCTCATAAAAAAGAAATCAGATTTGTTTGACAACTTCTGTCTTTCATGAATTCATGCTGTCTGTTGCTTAAAATATTATTTTTCCAGCAAGAACTCATTTATGTTGTCTTTTATTACACTCTCCAGTATCTTCCCAACTATAGACGTTACACTAACAGATCTATAATTACTTGGTAAAGACTTTGACCCCTTTTTAAATATTGGTATCACATTGGCCTTACACCAATCCAGTGGTACTATGCCTGTCATTAAAAGAGTCCCTACAAATTAGAAACAATGGCTTTGAAATGACAGACCTCAATTCTTTAAGGACCCGTGGGTGTATGCCATCCGGTCCAGGGATTTTTTTTTTTATTTTCCAAGAACGTGCAAAAATCATCCCGTAAACATATGAGATGGAGAAAAAACAGTTACAACTTCATACACATCCAGGCACATATCGGTGTAAAGGACAAAGAAAAATACAATAATATTTCTAAGTGTTATAGAAGGTCTTGTATGCCGGGGTGTATCTTTAACATGCTTGACATACCAAGTTGGGTATGTGAGGAGAGAAAACCAACAAACAAGTTACTTCTCTGCTGTGCCTATGACAAGGCTTCCATAGCCAAGGTACACTCCGCATTGCTCAGATGGTGTGCAACAAGTCCTCCTTGTGGGCACCCCTACAATATCACCTGTTGCTCACCATGGGACCAATTATAGTCAGTGTGCCTCATACAGCGGATAATTTAGAGATCACCCCTTAAGAAAGGGGAAGACTGGAATAAAAAGAAAAGAAAAACTAAGAATGAAAGAGGAGAAAGGGAAAAGAGGTGCACCCTCATCTAAAAAAAATATAAGTAGGCTATCCGAGTCATGGGATGTCCATTAGGTTTCTGATCCATCGGTCCCAGGTTTTCGCAGAGGGCCAGTTTGTCATTTAGGATTAACGCTGACAGGCGTTCATTTGTCATGATGTATGTTAACTTGGCCTTCAAAAGATAAAACGGGATCACAGGAGACTTCCAGGATCTCGCAATTGAGATTCTAGCTGCTGTAAAGATAAAGATAAAGGTTATCAACCGTTATGCATGTTTCGGCACCCCCTCTATAGGACTTCCCAGTAGGGCCTGACGCGGAGTCTTTGTTAACATAAATCCTATATTTTTGGAGTTGTGTGTTTGATTATAATGTCAAAAATTGCATTTGAACAGTATTTTTTTCTTTGCTTAAATGGAATTACATTCCAAGTGCATCAAAGCAAAAGATATTCAGGGTCTTAAAGTTAATAATCTTTTTTAAAGCTTCTCATCTAGCGTACAGGAGGTGGTTATACCAGGATCACCACTGCAGCCGTGATCCTGATACTGTGTTTTGGGTTTTTTTTTTACCACCAGTGATCGGCTTTCATGTAAAAGTGTTCCGCGCTGCCCAGCCACTTTTCCTGGGCTTGGATGGCCCCCCCACCGCTGTCCTCCACAGTTTCCAGGCTTTCTTCCGCTGGAGAGTCCAGGACCACTGTTAGCAGTTGGGTCGGCTGCCCACAGAGGAGATGGAAGAACATCCCTTCCCCAATCTCCCATGAAAAATTCGGGCCAGAAGCAGTTAGGATTTTGTCACTTCCAGGTTCAGAGCTGTGCTTCCCTGGCTGTAACGGCAAATCTGTTTCATCAGCTACTTTGGAGGGCAAAGGAGGAATCGGGGTTCTTAATAGACCCCCTGAACTCTCCATAATGAGTACTTGTCAATGCTGTCAATGCCCAAAGTGTTGTTCACCCCTTGTGATAGTATTAAAGTTGAACTGAAAAAAAAAAAAAAGCAAATCGAATAAATAATTTTAAGCACCATCCCCCCCCCCCCCTCCCTGTGCTCACGTGCAAATGCAAAGGAGCATGTAGATCTGGCATGCATATGTAAACTGATTGCACCGCATATCGCTGGGAAATTCAGAGTGACAGCAATAATTCTAGCACCAGAACTCAAGTTTAACCAGCCACAGCTTCAGTAGAAAAACCTGCCCCTGCCAGCAGCTTCATGGCAGGATCCTTGATCTCTGTGTAAAAGCAGCGGTCTGACAAACCCACCAATGAATCAGGGCTGGAGCTTTGCAATAAGCAAAGTTCATGCATGCAGCTGTTTGAAACAATCTAATTCTGGCTCAACAGGTGGGATGTTAGATCTCTATAGATAGACCACTGCTCCCCACAGAGAGCAAGGGTTCCACTGTGCATTAAGCAGGTAGGGAATAGGCTTTTCCACTCAGGCTGTGGGTACTTTCTAAAGAAAACAAACTAACACTTTAAACCTATTTCTTTATCGTATAGGACAAAGGTCTCCAATAATAACGGGTGGGTTATATAGTGCACTTTCAGGTGACTGGACACAAGTGGGTCCTTGATGGTCCCCCCATTCATCTGAAAGATACTATTCTGATACTTATTTAGGAGGTTTGCAAATGTCTCATGTTAGACTCTGCAGTATTTATTTTATCTGTATGAAATGTTGATAGGACATGCTTCCTAACATCTGTACATTTATGCTTTCTTCGTTTTAGTGGGGGTGTTATGATTTACTTTGACCGGATAGAGGTTGTGAATATGTTGACTCCTTCAGCAGGTCAGTATTGTGGTGTCTGTGGCTGTTTTATTGTATTCAAAGCAATATGCAATAACTAACTGTTAACTAGGGATTGTTGATATGGGTGATTCTTCAATCTTGCCTACAGCCGGCCATAGTTCAGCAGGGAGCGGTCAAGATTTGAACCATCTATGGGCAGGCTGGTTGTAACCAGTTCAATTTTTGTACAACCAGGATGTCAGATTTTTCAGGCTATAGCCGCTAGCAATATTCACTGTGTTCTCCCGGCAGAGATAGCTACAATACCTCCACGGGAGGGATTCGCCCATCAACACTGTGTTGATAGAGGAATCAAGTGATTTTTTGTCTTGAAACCAGTGGTTGCAGGAAATAAAATCTCATCATCTATGGTTGGCTTAAGCTAAGTTTGAATTCACACTCCAGCAGCCACCACTGAAACAAATCAAATATTTCCAGGGCCTTGTTGCCCCTTATCTTAGCATAGGGGTTGATAATCTTTCAAATGTCATAATTTGAAAGGTTAAATAAAACATGTCACAGTATTCAGAAGGTACATCTTGTTCAGACTCAGAAATTGGGAACTTTCTGAGGTATTTTCAACTCCTGTTTCAGTCTATATGTGTATCAATGGAACAACGACACATTAATAAGGTTATCCCTGTACTTTTTCCTCCTGTAAGCACATTTCCTGTAAGTACCAGAAACCTGATTAGCTGTGTAAGAAAAGACGACATATCCTTTTCACCCTTTTATTTACTGCCGTGCGGAGTTTTACATGAGTGTGTGTGTATATCTCACATGCTGACTGTCGACTTTCTTGTGAAAGCTGTACAGCTGCCTGATTGCATTCACGAACCCCTCCCCCCCCCTCTCCTTCTTGTCATGGTTCCTTGGCTCTGCTGTTGCGGCTGCAGGCTTAGGCCTGTCAATGGGTAGATGGGATGGCGACCAGTGAACATTTGCTGATCTCCCCTAATTAGTAAAACCCCATAATTAACATGTATAATGTCACTTTTCTCAGCCTCTGTGGCCAGGAAAGAAGGTAATTGAACTCTTATTTAAAGAAAAAAAAGTGTAATTAGTTACACCCCCCCAACCCCAGAATAAAATGTTGAGCATGTACAAATGCATGTAAATGCATATGTGGGGACCACCTATGTACGAAACTTGCTTGTGCATGTCTTCATAAGAGCAATAATTCTAGGCCCATTATTCAGGGTTAATTCAAACTGATTACCTGTAGGGACTTTTAAATCATTGCCTATGGCCCCTTTCATACTAATGCGGTATGGATTGACCGCACGGCGATAAGCTGTGTTTTCCCATAGAGTTCTATTATGTTCCATGATTTGGGTGCTCTTTCTGAAGGTGCACCAAACTCCTGCATGCGGGACTTTTGGTGTGCTTTCAGAAAGTGCACCCAAACCATGGGGCATAATAGAACTCTATGGGAAAGTGCAGCTAACCCGCACCAAACTCACGAGTACATTGTGCTACACATGGTCAGATTCAGTGCATCATTGTGAAAGGGGCCTATAGAAAATAAGATGTGAAGGTTCCTATTTATTATGGCAGACAGAAGCTGCTTTATAGACTTTAGTTGTATGAAAATTAGAAAAGAACCTTGCAGCATCTTCAGCTTACTGCAAAGCGCAATGTTGATGTACTTGAAATGTGTTCTCTTTCTTTTTACAGTGTATGACATTGTGCGGAACTACACAGCAGATTATGACAAAACATTAATTTTTAACAAAATCCACCATGAGCTGAATCAGTTTTGCAGCGTTCACACACTGCAGGAAGTGTATATAGAGCTGTTTGGTGAGTAAAATTCATTGGAGTAATCAGCGAGGATTACTTATTTCTGAATTATGAATACTTATGACATTTTTTAAAAGCTATTTTTCTGCTTATACGAAAACTACACAAGGTTACTTTTTCTTTATTTTTCGACAAAGTAAAACTTAAAGCTAAACTCTGGGCCCAAAACTTTCATTCCGTTTTCTTCCCTCAATAGCCCCCAAGTATTCCACATCAACTTTGTATGCACCAAACACCTTTGCAAGCTCATATATAACCATACAAAGGTGGCATCACTGTGCTGTGCAGATTTTGGAGCTGTGAGAGGAACTCAGCAGGCCCACCTACTGCAAGATAACATCAAAATACTAGAGGAAGGGGCAGATACAAGACAGTCTTCACAAGGAGAGAATAGCAGGAACTGTAATACAGGAAGCTCCTGCACAGAGGCAGTGATTTAGATGGGTTTACTGCTCAGATCTGAAAGAAAAACACAGATCCTGGAGTTCAGCTTTAACACAGTTCTAAGTGTACTTAGAATAATTCACACATTTATGTAACACCCAGATTTCTAACATTTCGGCCTCATTTTTTTTTTTTTTTTTATTCCATTAATTTTTTATTCCATTAGGTGTGGGAATCTGTGTTTTATTTATCCTCCAGAAAAACAGTTTTTTTAAGATTTTTAATGAGACCTTAAAAAGTTGAAATGTTAATATTACTAAAACTTATGTAAACCCTAACAATAAACTTCTCTTACATGATCTCTTTTGGTCTGTTACTATTGAAAGCATTTTGTTTTGTTATTTCATAAGTGCACAAAAACCCTGTTAATCCTGTCAGATATTCCGAGTTGTGTTCTCTGCACACTTCTGTGTTATCTCGGAGTCTGTTTAGCCCCGAGTTCTTGGGAGTTAATTTTTCTGTCCATACAGGGACTTCAAAAGGATAAAACATGGGAAAATAGGAAATGTGCATGTTGTTCAAGGGTTGTCCTGCTTACGGTTTTTTCCTTTGTTTTTTTTTCTGCCTTAAGCTGGCAATACACTGAATTTTGTCCATGTGAAAAATTATCAACTGAACGGCAGCACATCCATTCAGATGCAGCCACTGTTTGGCAGGGCTGGCTGTCAAAATACAGTAACCACAGCAGGTGAATTATCCATCTACACTGTACAGTGTGGATGGAGGAATCCGTAATTTATGAGGCTCAGCCTGCAGGATGAATAGAAAAAACTATAAGTGTATGGCCAACTTCAGGGTAATCCTGTGGATTTAAGAATCACTGTACTTTGACATCTCAAACCTGTCAGGCCCGACTCTGCTTTCCCCATGATGTGTATACTCTCTCTACATAAATCAAATCAACAGGGGATCTGACATCTACTTGCAAGTATGCATGGAAATTGCTTCTCCATTAGAATCTATGGAGGGAAGCAACTCATGTTGATTACCCTATGGCCTTGCTGGCTCAGTGGAGAATGGAAGGGTAAACTAGCAGTACAAGTTGCCCGCTGCTCTGAGTTCTGTAAAGGGGTTGTACATAGCATGGGAAGTACAAGGGGGGCTGTTGAGGTATGGTAAAGTATTGTTTTCTTTTTAAATTGCCTTTAGATGGGCTAGCAGGTACCTAGAGGTAGTTGAACATACTTCATTGCTTTTGCAGCCCTCAAAATCCAAGGGCTATTATGCGAAAAAGATTGTAGGAAATCGCTGACTGGCTAATAGAGCTCCCAGGCTTTTAGGGTTCTTGACGTGTTCTTTCAGTAGACTAGATGTGTGCAGGCATTATGTCAATCTTAATCCAACATGTGGGAATAAAATAAAAATTCTAAATTCTTTTCTGTAGCATTTTAACTGTTAAAAACAACAACAACCGCAGCTCAAATCTCTTATGTACAACATAAATCTTACTGGCCATAATTAAAATAATGGACATTAAACTAATTTTGCTAAAAGCAGCAAACCCCTCAAGGTCTATTGTAGTTGGCAAATGCTTCTCTCTTCTGTTACAATCTTGATAGTATCTTATGATGTTCAAAAGCTGGGTATTAGCTATCAGTTCAGCACCATCTGCCTCTCCCTCGTGTATGAGTCCTCTCTGTTTATTTCAAGTCCGTTTCGTGTCACCCGCTCAGTCTACAACACCACTCCTCTGTTTATAGACTAAAGAAAATATAGTGGGGAGCACCACGTACAAACAATAGAGATACTTCCTGTGCACTATTCATCAAAATGTCTTACTGTATATTGCTTTGTTGTTAAGCTAATGACACATAGGCTACGTTCAGACTAGCCTTGTTAGCAAGCGGCAGCGTTTTTACCGTTTCCCTAATGCCTGGGAAAATTCTGCACATTGCAGCACATAGTGCTGTTCAAACGGGAGCGTTAGCGTCGCGGCAAAATGGACGCCTCTGCTCGAGTCAGGAGGAGTTGAAGCCTCCTATTCAAGTCTATGGTGACGCTCTGCAAACGCCCGGCCAGCATTTGCGGTGCGGTTGCAAGGCGTTTGCGGAGTGGTAACACCATTCAAACTTCATTAGAGGCGTTTGTGGGGCGTTTTTAACGCTTGGCAAACGCCGGACCAATGCTTGTCAAATGCTATAGGGGCGTTTGGCAAGAGTTGGAAAAACAGTCAAGTGTGAACGAGCCCTTATTCAGTGTTTTGTGCTTGTAAACTGTTGAACTTGTTTTATTTAGGTAGGCCACTTAACATTTTCCAATGTGTGTCTGTATAGATCAGATTGATGAGAACCTTAAACTGTCACTACAGAAGGAGCTTAATTCCATGGCCCCTGGACTCACGATACAGGTATTAAACAGCTTCCGAATAATATAGTTTTATTGAATTGTTATGATTTTGCAAGCTAATCTGTGGTATTCTCTGTAAATTTTGCTATTTAGGCGGTACGTGTAACTAAGCCAAAGATTCCAGAAGCTATCCGCAGAAACTTTGAACTAATGTAAGTCACGTGGCCGACCTACAGATTATAACGTAGATGTGAAAATGTTTGTCTGTCATATTCCGTAGAAAAATATTTTATTATTGTGCTTTTTTCTAGGTCAATTAATTTGCTTTTTTTGTTCATGGCTCCAGTAACTAGCATTTCATGTTTTTTGCAATTGTTGCATGTTTTGAAGATTTTCTCCATGAAAAGAACATAAGTTCTTAAGTGAACAAACATAGTGCAGGCTTCACAAGCATATTAACTCTAGTGGTGCATTAAATGAAAATTCTGGTGCCGAAACCGAAAAGTCAGGAAGCACTTGTCCAAAAACAGAAACCGAAATGGACAGTTTTTTAAAAAAAAATTAATATAATTATAATTAATATAAAAATACACTGATTAAAAAAAAACTTTGTAAAATATGAAAGATAATCTTACGCCGAGTAAATAGATATCCAACATGTCATGCTTTAAAATTTAAAACACGCTCGTGGAATGGTGTCAGACTGCGGTACTTAAAAATCTCCATGGGTGAATGTTTAAAAATTTCTACAGTTTACCAGTGTAAAGTTACAGAAAAGGACTAGTGCTAGAATTATTGCTCTTGCTCTGGCGTTTGTGGTGATACCTCATATGTGTGGTTTGGACACCATTTATTTATGTGGGTGTGGCCTACGTATCACCACTACTTGCGAGCACAGGGGCACTTTAAACTTTTTTTACATTTTATTTAATTATTTTTTTACACTGTCCCTTTAAAAAAAATTTTAGTCACTTATATTCCTATCACAAGGAAGGCATGCATCCCTTGTGATAGAAATAAGTATGGAGAGATATGGGGTCAATAAGACCCCATGTCTCTCCTCTACAATGTAAAGCATTAGATCAAAAAAAACATTGATGTAGAGCTTTAAAATAAATAAATTTAAAAAATGGCCTTTTCTACAAGGTGCCAGAGCCAGAAGTGACATTGCTTCAGTCCTCCAAGGGCATATAGATGAGTTGAGGCCATCTTTCCTTCACTAATCTCTATGCCCAGCGCCCGGGATCATTCAGTGGTTTCTAAGCTAAGGGTGAGAACCACTTGGTCGCGGTGGTGGCAGTGGCGGCAAGGTCGGTTATTTTCGGCACCTGTATTGGTGCTTTTTTTCATATCAGCCAAAGGCTGATAGGAGTGATTTCAGCCAAAACGTTTTGGCCACCGAAATTTCAGTGCATCCCTAATATTAACTTTTTAATATCCCTAATATATTGACACAGAAAACTAGTGACAGCAAGTCATTTCTGATTGTAATCTCTGAGTGAGCAAAAGAGTAATGCATGTATACAATAGGAAGAGTTGAGTAAAATCTAAAATAAAAAGAAAAGTTTAAAATACTAAAAATAAAAATAGTATTTAATAAAAATAGTATTTAAGTAAAAGTACACCTTTTATTATTTAGAAAACCATTCACTCTGTAGGTTTCTGAAACAGAAAACTCACTGGGTTAATAAAAACTTGACTTTACTAAATTCTGGACAAGGCCCAGTTGTTTCCCTCTGTCCAGTGAGAATGTCCCTTTTGTTCACTAAAGAGTACATAGACTAGGAAGGAAAGTGATGGTTACATAGAAAGCCTGAGGGAGATCAGAAAGGCATACTGAGGTAAAACCGTGGGGGCACGCAGGCAACCACAGTGTAGGCACACAACAGCGAGGATACAACAGTTATTCATTAAATCAGAAGAGTGACGATAATGATCACTGAAATGATCATGGGCTTAGTGCAGAAGGGGAAATGCAGTCAATGTAAGGCATGCTGATCTGGCCAGCTTGAAGCAGTTCTGTTCCACTGTATGCATTACAGTGGTGTAGCTAATACCAAAAGTTTTGAATAGAGGTGTAAGGGGTGTCAGTATTTAATTGCTCTGTGTCTCTGTTAGGGAGATTAACACTCTCTATTTGTCTAGGTGACCATTGTAACTAGCACTGACTGTGAAGGAAATTTTTTTTAATTGTAAGCAGAACAGGAATAGAGGAAAAATCTTCCGCTGAGGACACTTGTTTCTGTAGGAGCTGTTTAATGCACCTTCACATGGATTCGTATGACTGGAATCCCAGGTGTGTGTAAATGATGGTATCTGCTCAGCGTATATGTAAACCAATGACAGGCTGATAGCAGCCGTTCACATGTAGCCACACACCATGGGGTTACCTGCAGTTAGGGAAGGATGGCTGACTGTGTAAACGGCTAAATGGGGGCCTAAGTGGGATTTACCTCACAGAACTGCAATTGTGACCTTATTTTACCTCTTAAGACTTTGGACATATCAGACACATCCAAAATGCTGAAGAGGTAATGATTTCAAATATTTATCAATGTGCAGCATGTAAAACCTTGTGTATTTACCTGGCCAGTGTTTACCTTTTCCTCAGGGAAGGGGAGAAGACCAAGCTATTGATTGCTGCGCAGAGGCAAAAGGTGGTAGAGAAAGAGGCAGAGACTGAAAGGAAAAAAGCGGTAATAGGTAAGTTTGCACCTTCCAAGTGGAATACTGCTTTGAAGAGAAAATTGAATTAAAGAATTAGAAATTAAAGCAAAGCAGGAGAACAGACGAGCATGTGATTTTCTCTCTTGCCTCCCACAATGTAGCTTTTAATCCCTAAACATACCTTTTGTTTCTAATTCTAAACCTATACCTGAACATGTTGTCAAATATTTGTGACACATTGTAAAGTGTATACATAACATTTTTAGATTTAAAAAGGAAGTTTGGTGAAAAACGAGCTGTATTTTGTGGGATTTATGCGTATCCGAATGTTATAAAATACAGTCATAAGAGCTTTTTCTCCTTTTAATGATAGTCTGTAACAATGCACTTTGCTGTGTTTTCATGACAGAGGCAGAAAAAGTTGCACAAGTGGCAAAAATTCAGTATCAACAAAAAGTAATGGAGAAGGAAACTGAGAAACGCATTTCTGAGATTGAAGGTCAGTGTGAGATTTCTTTTCTCTGGTGAATAATCAGTAATCTGTGCATTTATAGATGAGGTCATAAGACAGAAGAACTAATGTGTTCTGCTGTAAGATTTTATTTAGTGTAGAGGAGGATTAGAACCTCTGTTAAAGTGGAACTAAACCCTACTATTCTTTATAGCCAAAGACACTGCCATCCTAGCCTGTTTGATCTGCAGTTACTATGGTGTTGCACGTGTGATCAGTTATGACACCAGACATTTGATGGCTTGACAGTTTGGTTGAGACCTAACATGATCACACTAATAACTGTAATGGTTATCATTCAAGGCATGCTTCGAATGTAACCATTTTGGTAAACATTTAAATTGTTAGGTTTAGCTCTGCTTTAAAGTGGAAGTAAACCCTCCTATCCTTTTCAGCCAAGAAAGCTGCCATCTTAGCTACTGTTTGATCTGTAACTGCTGTGGTGCTGCACTTGTGGTCAGTTATGACACCAGCCATGTGATAGTTTGATGGATTTGGTTGGGAGCACAGACACATGTGACAGTTGGCATTTCTGGCATGCCTGGAATGTAACTTTTTATATTGCACTGTTAAATAAATGGGTTTAGTTACTTTCTGTGTCCTTGTTTTGACAAAATATCCTCCTCATTTGCAGCCTATTTAACAGGTGTCAGACAGAGCAAGAATTGACAGAAAAGCTTCCCCTTGTTGTGTGTCAAAACAGGAAAGATGGGCAATCCCTCCCCAGGGTCCCATGGTATACTGGCAGCAATAAAAACTCATTTGCTAGCACAGTGAGTTTAGAAGTCTTTTTAGGATTTTATTCATGAGGAAAACTTCCTTTCATTTCCTGTCCAGGGGACAGGTGTCAGGCAGAAAAGAGAAATCTCCTCTGTGGGGGTACAACTTGCTAACATATGACCGAAAATCATTTTGATAAAAACTGAGCATATACATTTAAGAGCTGATAGAAGTTCTAACGCTCCATCACTATTTTCAGTTTGAACAAAGGGTTTTGGCTGATGATCCATTCAAAAGGTTAATAGAGTTTGACCTGGAAGAAAGATATCATGAAATATTGTAAAATAGTTTAGTTCAGTTTTTTTGTTTTAAAACAGATTTTGTGCACTCCAGTTTTAGTAAATCATTTCCATAGAGCCAGCATCACTAAATGGCAGACCAACTCCCTATCCTGCCCAGACTGCCGTGGTCGTACTATTGAGAAGCCTGTTGCGCCCTGCAGCCGTCACCGCTGTAATCCTTGTAGCTTCCAGCGGGAGGATACACAGCTCAGTATGGCGGGTTTGTTTCCCGAGCTACCAGGCAGCTGATTGGTTGCTAGTTCAGCCCTAGCAACCAATCACCAGCTTGCAGCTTCCGGCCTCTGTCCAATCTTCCTGTGCCTCTTGCTCTCCTGTGTAAGGTAGGACAGGAGGGAGGGAGAGAATGTGAAGTAAGGCTGCTTAAGACATTAATGGGGAGATAGAACAGTAATGGGGGGGCTGAGGACAATTATGGGAGAGCAGAGGACAGTAATGGGGGCTAAGGACAATTGTAGGAGAGCTGAGAACTGAGGACAATTATGTGGTAGCTGAGGACATTTATGGGGGAGCTGAGGACAATTATAGGGGGGCTGAGAACTGTAATGTGTGTGGGGACGACGACCAAGGACAGTAATGTTAGTGGGGGGGCCAGAGGACATTAATGTGAGGCTGGGGACTGAGGACAGTAATGTGAGGGAGGCTGAGGACAGTAATGTAATGGGGGGCTGAGGACAATTATGGGAGAGCAGAGGACAGTAATGGGGGCAATTCTAGGGGGGCCGACAACTGTTATGTTTGTGTGTGTGTGGGGGGGGGGGGGGGGGGCAGAGGACAGCAATGTTAGTGGGGGGGGGGGGAGCCAGAGGACATTAATGTGAGACGGGGGACTGAGGACAGTAATGTGAGGGAGGCTGAGGACAGTAATGTAATGGGGGGCTGAGGACAATTATGGGAGAGCAGAGGACCGTAATGGGGGCTAAGGACAGTTATAGGGGGGCTGAGAACTGTAGTGTGTGTAACAGAGGACAGTAATGTTAGTGGGCGGAGCCAGAGGACATTAATGTGAGGCGGGGGACTGAGGACAGTAATGTAATAGGGGGCTGAGGACATTTATGGCTGGACTTAGGTCACTAATGGGGGGGCTGAGGACAGTAATGGGGCAAAGGACAATTATGAGGGGGGGTGAGAACAATTATGGGTGGGCTGAGGAGAGTAATGTGAAGAGGGATTTTGATGTGAAGGGCAGGGAAGAGAGGGACTTTGCATGCACGTGTCGCATGTTGGGCAGCTCATTCATTTTATATGCTGCCTTACCCTAAAGAGAGACCGTAAAGAAGTTCCTGACCCTGCTTTTAAAATTGCGCTGCCACCAAGCCGCTTGGTGTATGTGAAAATGTGCCATAGGTGGCGATGTGTGAGGGTGCATTTAGGAACTAGTGGTACCCCTGCCCATCTGATGAAGTACAGCACATTTCCATGCGGGGTGGAACCACGTTCAATTTCACAAACGTTCTCCAGCTACAAGGTAATGAACCTAAGAGGAGATAGGGGTTGTGATGTGAAGAATTTGAGTCATGGCACAAACATGCGATCCAGACCTCGTTGGAAGAATCTTTTACTGATTGGACCTCCATGTACTTGAATTCAGTACCCCTGCCATAGAGCCTGTTCATTGTCTTATTTGTGCCCATGCTGATTTTGTCATCGGTTTTGCAATAAACAGCAAGCATGCATACCGTCCTAAAGGTTTCCAATGGTTTAGTCCTGGTCAGCTGCTGCTATGGGGTTCTGCTTTCTCTGCTCATAATTTCAGTTCAAGGCACAATGAACAGATCCACTTAAAATACAATAATTTAAATCAAGCAAAAATTGCAGTGTAACTTTGCTGTATATTACTTCTAAAATGCCTTGAAATAGAAATGCCAAAGTGATAATTCATAGACTAAACGTTCTAGTGTTTTATAGGTACTGCATTTAAGATGTTCACCAGTGTAGTTTACTAGAATCTAGCCATATAAGCAAATTGAAAAATGTTTTAGTTTTAATGCAAATCTCACATCGGCTTCGGACTGTTTTGTATAGTTAGAGGTGCCACCAGCTGGTGAAATTTGACATTGCACCTCATGGTTTAATAAAATTATACTTTATTAGTATGCTACATAGATGGACATTAAAGGAACCTATACCAAGAGAATATGGATGCTGATATTGCTGACTGCTGCTTCACAAAATGCTAGTTCCATACCTGACATAATGTGAGGCACTATCTGGAACAAGTATGTAAATTAGTTATAGGATAAGTTCACCTTTCTCAAGATGTTACACCTATATTTAGAGTAGAACATGTAACATGTTGCTCATCCACTCATTTCTTGTGATGTTGTGTGGGGGATATTCTCTCCACACCTACTGTCACATTTGAAAACTGCAGAGCTCCGCCCCCACAGCCGTGGCATTCATTCACAGAGTTCTGTGACCAAATGCCTACAAATACCGTCAGTCATTGCGGCAGACAGCTTGCAGTTCTCAATGAATTCCGGGGCACTGATGACTGCTCTTGTGGTCCACTGAGCTTCCTAGATTCAGTAACTCTGCTGGTATGGGCTGACTGTACTGAAAATCTGCAAGAGCCTGACATTGCAGATCACGGGTGGGTGCACCGCTTTACAGGCTTTCAAGAAAAAAATAAATGCACATTATTTTACCTGCCAAAAAAATGTGCATTTATAATTCTTTTTTAAAGGTGAAATTATCCTTTAAAACTTCACTCTGACATTCTGATCTGAAGGAGAATGGTCCACCTACATTACGGCTCATTCACTATGCAGATGTGTGTGAAACACAAGACTGGCTTAACAGTAAGATAGTAAACCGTACATTAGGTTAATAAAACTGAAAATGTGTATTTAGCTATTTGCCCTGGGTTCTGCTTTAGACATCACCGGTGTTACACACTTATTTGACATTTTAGCAGAAATACTGAGATTTAAGCTGTTTTTATACTTTTGCTTCCTGTTTTTCTCCTATTTCCCCATCATAAAATATTCAATGATATTTTTAAATACAGTCTTTTCATTTTCTGTTTTGCTATGCAATGCAGGCTGATCATGGCTAGTGGGAGGTGCACATGGTTTCCTGAAAACATCACAGCACCCAATCCCCCCCAGTACTCTTCTCAAGAGCCATTTGCCCTGATGCAAGGAGTCAGCTGGCTCTTGGGAGAAATTATGTTGAAGTTCATTGACGGGTGGCTGGCTGTTTGCATCCAAAAGCAGTCTGCTTAGAAATGCCCATTCCTTCAGACTGCCCTAGGTGTTGCCTACATGTGATGTTGAGCCTCCAAGATTGAAGGAAATTAATAAAAGGGATGAGCCAGGTACAGTAAGGCTGGGGAGGAAATGGCTAGTTGTTTGACTTGCTGCAGTTTCTAATGCACATTGTTAGAAGCTCACAGTATTCAGTGAAATCAAAATGAATAATTCTAGTATAGGAGAGGAGCTTGTGCAACTGTGCAAGATGGAAGGTAAGACTGGAGGTCATATTTGATTTAGCTTGCTGATCAACACCTGCCCTTTGTGTTCTCATCTCAGATTCAGCTTACCTTGCTAGGGAAAGAGCCAGAGCGGATGCTGAATTTTACACTGCTGAGAAGTTTGCAGAGGCTAACAAGGTAAGAGGGACATTTACCTGAAAAAAGTTGTTACTAAAACAAGCTTTATAGTGTTACTAAACCCACAACAGTAACCATTTTCTCTGTCCCTCCTCTTGTTCAGATGTCCACCTGATAAGACAGACCTAACCCGTAGCACATGCTCAGTTTAGTGTGTACTGCTAGAGAGATTTTTTTTTTTTTTTTTTTTTAGGAGAGTGCATGTAATCAGCACAGGGCCGATCAGCACAGTCTAGACAAAAGTCAGGGGTTTTGCATCCTTCTAGATCAGAAAAAAAACTTTTTAACCAGTGCTCTGCTGAAGTCACAAGACTGCTCTAACTGCTGATGATAAAAGGTATTTAGCAGTTTATATTTACTAAAATAATTGCACTTCCACATTTTGTGTACTGTGGGAGAGCAGATATAGTGAATGCAGGGTCCTGGGTTTAGTAACACTTTAAGAAATGTTCTCACCTTAGTTTAAATTTCCCAGGTTTATGACAGGTTTACCTTAAGAGAAGTTTGGGAAAAGAATAAAAGCAAAAAAATCATATCTAGATGGCTGCAGACCAAACCCAGCAGCAGCTGTCCCCTGCCGGCTGATGGCTCATTTCTTTGTATTCAGTCTGCAGAGAGCTGGTGACTGTAGGTCACTGGCTCTCTGCTCTGCCCCTCCAGCTGGGTGATGTCAGATGATAGTGGGTTTTAGCCAGCTACAAGGGGGTCACAGGAGTGCAGAACGAAGTTCACTCCTCTGCTCCATAGGAGAGATCTAGCCAAAATAACTTGGCCCTACTTCTCATTTAAGGATAATTAATAGCTGAGAAATAGATTTGTTTCTGGATCTCTCTTTTCTATGTGCATTAACTTACTATGTATCTCTACATTTGTCACATTCTCCTTTTCAGTTAAAACTGACACCGCAGTATCTGGAGCTCATAAAGTATCAAGCCATTTCAGCGAACAATAAGATCTATTTTGGAAGTGACATTCCCAGCATGTTTATGGATTCCTCTTCTCTGAAACCTCCAGTAATGGAGCAGTATGGTGGAGGATTTTCAGACAGAGAGAGCAAGTCTCAGAAGAAGGCTGGGAAATCATGAAGATGATCTGCTGAAGGGAAGACTCTTTGCAGCCTCTTGGATATGAAGAAGCTATAAGGATGCAACCCGATCAAGCACAACAGCTTTCTGAAGACTTATCATAAAACGTCAACTGCCACTTTATTTGCTCATGATTTTTCTTCCTTTTTGAATTACATTCTTACAATAGTTAGCCTTTCTCCATCTTTTCTTTGATCTTCCAGTTGAACATCAAGCTGTATAGGAATGATGATACCCGGTGCTCATACTGAGCTTCGCATACAGCTGCGTTTTAAGCAGTCATGGGCTGTTGTCCGTTAGACACTACATCTTCTAAAATGTGCCTCTTGAACCCTTAGAGGTTAACGCTGAAAGGCTGGGATTACTGTTTGCAGAAGCAGCGAAGTGTTCTTCTGTATACAGTGCCTATAATTAAATATTAAAGGAAGGCAGAATTCAGTTGGAAAAAGGATTTTATGGTCTGTTGTGATGGCTTTAACAACTGTGCTATTTGTACTGTCTTCATTGCACTATAGTGACCTTGAGAAATCCAGGAGATGCAAACCCCAGTCTTAACTGACTTACATCTCAGTGATTCTTCTCTGAAAGATCCCATGAACACGATAAAGATGGCCTTCTGTCATTGAATGGATTGTTGCAGAAAGCTGTCCTTTCACCACTTTTGTACAAGCATTTTTAGCAGGTTCTTTTTGGTATTCGTTGCTTTGGCCGATATCTGGGATTGTCCTGAACATCCTATTCTTTATTTCCTGTTGTCTTACTGTAAATAGAAAGTGTATCCAGGTTGTGAGCTGCTCTGAGTTTTCAGAAATTCTTTTTGGTGCTTGTTTCCCACAAAACTGAATCTAGGCCCATATTAGATTCTGCAGACTGGTTAAAAAGAATCTATATATTAAAAATTCCTTGAGTATGACTCTGTAGGGATATTAAAAATAGTACACCCAAAGAAAATATACTTATCTGTCCCTCTGCCTGTTCTTCATTTCTTTTGCTTTTTTCCCCAAAGGAACCCACTGTTAAAATCTTTAGCATCTCAGAATCCTAGAAGTGCTTTGGTTCTACCCTGCAGCCACAGTAGTAGAAGCTGTTGGGTGGAACCACAGACATCCAGCATACCTGGAAATGTGTGACAGATGCTGAAAGTCTGCAGCCAATTTTGCTAAAAAAAAATGAAAAAGACTTTAAGAATGTGTGGCTCATCCGGTAAGTATAAATAGTCTTTTGCAGGGTGGGCTTTTTTTTTCTTTTTTTTTTTTTTAAATCAGCGACAGAGTCACTTTAAGGACTGGCATAAACCAGCACTGATAGCACTTCATCTGAATTAGCTTTGATGCAGGACAGACATTTTATTTAACTTCTACTTTTCTTGGTGTTTATACAGTTTTACAGTCTCTGATTCTAAGGAGCTTGCAGAATGTTGTGAAGCACATTGGTGCTTGTGGACAAGGTCTGAAAAAATAGAGACATTAAACGTTTTACAGGTATCAGCTAATGCTCATTATTTGAAGAATTGAATTAAATCGTTAAGTAAAAATAAGTAAAAATGTACTATTTAGGGAGAACAAACATGTTAGTCTGTCTTGTTTAATAGGGATTATTGTAACTGATATGCCTGAGGTTGCTTAGCAGGTGGAGAGAAATAACTAAAGCTACTGAATATTTTTATTAACTACTTTATTTTTTTGTATATTTTTTTGGAATGGTAACAATTTCATTGCTTCATCTTACTGGAAGAAAACATGACCTAATAATTGCCTTCCTAACTAAACGAAAGGCAACACTTTTTTTTTTTTTTTTTTTTTTGATTTGGATAGAGTGGAGAAGGATTAGAACACCTCTGTTTTTATTGATGTCTGTGTCCCCATTGGGGAGAATCACTTTCTCTATTTTTCCTGTTTGCCATCACCATTGAAAGTAAAAAAATCACACGTTTTGGGTTGTCCACAGAAAAGCAATAGAGGGGAAATCTTCTGGTGACCTGGTGGCCCCCAAGAGATTCCCTTCAATTTAAAGGGATTTCCTCTCACTTCCTGTTTTGGAAATGGAACAGAAAGTGAAGGTAAATCTCTCCCATGGGACACATGGCAAAACAAAAACCTTTATTTATAACCCTCCCTTACTCTATCCAAAATGGAGAAAAAAAAGTTCTATTTTAAATGCTCGTATTCATCCAGTAACTCAGAGAGAAAAGTGATAGACTTCTACGCCTGAAAATGCTAGTTGCCTGTCTTCTGGTCCGAGTTATCAAGACAGAATTAGTATACAGATCAGCAGTTCTAACTTCTATGTACTTTTTTTGGATCAATGGCTCAGAGTGTTTAAGTCCAGAGGCAGCCAGGAATCTACCATTTTCAGGAGGAGGTCAACAATGGCTGCCTCTATTTTCTCTCAGTACAGGTTTACTTTAACCTGCCCCACCAGTGTTAGATGATATTTGAATCCGTACGATGGCGTAACACTGCGTGCTGAACTGTTTTTTATTTTTTTTTTTTCAATAGCTGTTATATTAATATACTTCAAAGATAAGAGATGGAGCTTCGCTAATTTGTATCTAAAAATTACCAGTTTAAATAATGTACACAATAACATAGAACAAAATCCCACATAATAAAGTCCGTGTAAAAAAGTGATAAGTCCAAACTCCATCTGTGAACACGCAATAGTGACCTCAGTGTTCGCAGATCGAGTTTGGACTTGCAACTTTTTGACACGGACTTGATTATATGGAACTTTGTTCTTCACAAAATTTTGCACACAAGTTTTTGATGTATTGTGTGCATTATTTAAACTGTGTTTGATCTTTTATAGATTGGATTATTCACATATACTTTAGCAGAGCAGTATCTTACCTTTGAATTTCATTATATACACTTTTTTTGTGCCAACAGCTTGAGGTTTGGTTGTAGCGCAACTTTTTTTGATATACGTAAATAAATATACTTGCTTGCATTTGAGTGCACATCTTTGTACACAGTAGAAATCTCAGATTCCAGTCTTTTCTCAGGGGAACAGCTTGTCTAATATCCCAATCTGCCCATGACAATAATAGTATCTTTTGGCATGAATTGACTGCAGTACATTTTTAACCAGCAGGATAATTCAAGTGAAAGTCTGATAACATTATGATCTGAAGGATTGCAAGTTTGTCCTTCATTTTTTGGCATTTTGTGCATTGAAGCTAAAGAGCATGTGTTCAAGAATGTAGATATGATCAGCCAGTTGAATTGTGACTGGTTGGAATTAAACCCTTCCCCCTTTTTCTAAATAAGATCACCCTGCTGCAGCTCTCTAGTAGCCATGTTTTCCTACATCCTTGATTGGCAGGATAGTGTTCTCACTATGTAAAATGCAACACTCTTCCCATCACTTATATCCACCCAAAAGTGCTTCATTTGAATTACAAACTCATTGGAACTTATTAAAAAATAGTTTAAGATGTTGTATTCTGTTTAAGAAGATGTATATTAAATTGTTTCAAAGGCAGCATTTGTTAGTAGTTTACCGCTGCCAGTATTAAAGATTTAGTCCACCCAAAATTGATATAATTTTTTAAAATGAATATTTCAATTTATAATTGTGTCGTCATATTATCTTGGGTTTTTTAGCTGTTCTCATCTGCTGTAATGTTTCATTCCAGTTTTGAAGGTATCTCACCTTGGCAAGACTGAACTCTTTCTCTCTTTGTTAGAATGTGCCTCCCACCCTTCCAAAACCATGTGGGTAGGCTAGCTGGCTTACACCTAAACTAGCCTATACTATTTGTGTGTATATAACTCTGAGGGGTTTAGGCTGTAAATTCCTGCATGGGTGGAGAGAGAGCTGTGAACTCTAATGGGTTTATCTTGCTGTGGATTTGATGCAGCCAACTCCCATCTACCTAAAACAGATCTCATTTTGAATAGAGGTGAACTCTAACCACTTAAAGTTTAAGTTCATCTTTACCATAAAGCACACTGTGCTGCCACATATGGGTATAGCAGTATAGTGTGCTAAACCTAACTGATAGCCAGGGCTCCCTTACTGTTTAAAGAACCTAGGCCAAAACCACATTAAAAAGAAGCCCTCTCGAAATCTTCTGCAGTCTTTGATATCTCTGTCCTGAACTATTGTAGGGACGAAGCAGCTGTGTTAGGACCAGCTCCCCCAAGTGCCATGGGAGGGAGTGCTGTCCGTTCTCTCAGGCTGCACATTTGCAGAATGTACTCTCTCCTGTGAAAGCCACTGTTGGGGATAGTATAGTGCGCTTTTTGGAAAGGGAAAACTTGCTCTTTAAAGCTGAACCCCAGGCAAGTGGCTAAATGTGTAGAGGAAACATATAAAGAGCTACATTTTACCTGCTAAAGTATTTGTATTCCTGCTGATCCAGTTCTGTCATTTACACGCCACTCATCACAGCCAGGCCAGTGGACACCACTTTCTCTTATAATACTGTAATAAGCATTCAGTGGATTCCTCACTCCACCTCCCGTCTGCTGACTGGACAGTGAAAGAGCAGCCACTGGCTAATGAGGTAATCTTTCTGCTCTCTCCTCCTATCAGCATATTGCTTGTCTGTGCATTTGCATGCAGCACACTAAATTGCTCTGTCTGATTGCTGCTCTGAGAAATTTTTTTATTTAAGAATGAGTCAGAGTTGCATTCACTTGCGTCTATCTGCCTGGTGTTCAGCTTTAGAAATTCAAGCATATGTCACGTTTTTATCTTTTAGCTATATTTTTGTTAAAAGGAGGGTCAGTAAAATAACGCTTGTTCTGCGCCAACAATAGTGTTTCTAGCAGGTACATGAAGAGGAGAATTGCCTGCCTTAATATAACTACACCACTACTTTCTTCAGTTTCTGATGTGCACCACCATTTTATATTGTTCAATGACATCTCTACATTGGGAAGGATATTTATATGCAAATGATACTTTTGGAATTAAAAAAACAATAAAATGATTATTTTGGTACCAAATCCAGAGTCTGGTAGTGTATCCTTTGAATCTTTTCATGTATGTAA